TTTTCATTAATTTTTATCTAAGATGACATATGTTAATGTGTATTTATTTATTTATTTATTATATATACATATATTTTTTTTTAATACAATATATTTATTTACTAGGCTTGCAAATGTACTAATAACTGATTTACACAATACCTTAGTGATATTTTACCTGAAACGCAATTGTAGAGATATAAAAAAGATTCTTGTACAACTTTTGGAATGATAATATTGAGAGATCTTACGGTCCCCCGTTAGTTCCGTCGGGGTTTCTAATCGTTAGATCTATCCTGACGGTTACAAATCTGATGAAATGATTCCGTAACGGGACCGTAGCATTTTCTTAATGCCATTTTATAAATAAAAATGTCATTTTCTCCAACTATGATAAGATGCCAGAATTTATTTTGATAGCACATCACTTAACAAAACTAATTAAAAATTTGCCAGCACATGTGGAAAGCAGTCTGAATGCGAGTATCCTAAAGTCTACCTCAATGTTTGAAAACTATGTCACATAAAGAATATATCATTTTCCACAATTTAATTAAATAATAATATAGTTGCAAAAAAAAAAAAACATTTATTTGAGAAATTGATTAAGTGAACCTCACAAAGCCAGATACAACATATGACCAATTCAACCTAAAACGTGTTTGTGTGACCCGACATCAAATCTTGTCTCCATACTTACAAAACACACATGCTCACGTTCGACTACCTAACCGTTAGACAACCATATTTTCTTACGAAAAATGCCATATTTACTATAAAACATCATTCTTTTGTTTATATTGTATTATGCAGTCTAACAGAAGATTCGTATTGAATTGAGACAATGCAAAAACCGTCATGTTCGCTCATTCAAGAACTCAAGAAAATAACCGCAACTTTATAACAAAAATCAATATACAAAAGCAGATTCGAACGATTAATATTCATAGTAACCATCCCCTTCCTCCTTAGCTAAAACATGCATAATTTTCTAATATCTATAACGAACATAAGCCAAAGTAACACACGAAACTATATCTACACAACTATTAATTTTACGGCATACTATATATATATACACACACATGACTTCTATTTTTTCCATTTATTGTGATTTCGCCTTAAGGGTATCAGTTCTTGGAGCTCGACTCGTGATGGAGAAGATTGTGTGTATAGCTGCTGATGCTATTTTTAGCTTTATTTGCCCTCTTTTCGACAATGGCCTCCTCGATGGGCTTTCGCAGTTTCTTATTTATGAGGAAGAGAAATCACAGATCCTGTGATCCATACTAAGTATGAAACTTGAACCGAAAAAAAGCTTTCTTTTGGTAAGAGTTATAAGGAGTGATGGAGCTAAAGACTTAAGAGTGTTTTTTTTTTTTTTTTCTTTTTTTCTCTTCTTAATTTTGGTATTCTTTTTTTTTGATACAGGGATCTTCCGGTTTCCGAATCCAATGACCTTGTATAGACAAGAAAAGGAGGCACACTCATAAAGACACTTTCAAGCTAACGCTTAAAATTAAGATAATTTAAAAAATTATCAAACTCAATAAAAGAAAAGATTCCATATAAATTATAAAATGAACAGTGAAAAAACTTTAAAAAATATAAAAAATAAAAACACCTACAAAACAATATGAAACAGAAAGGACTAAAATCTTGACATAAGAGTCCTAAAAAAGGAAAAAAATTAATGCATTTTTATAATTTATTATGAGTTGTCGTACAAAATACAAGGTATTTCACCATAAAAAAGTATATATATATATATTTTTTAAAATTATGAAAAAAGTCAACTCGTGCAATTGTTAGGCCACCTGACAGTAGTGTTTGTGTGCTTCATCGTGAAGCACAAACCATTCAAAAAATTTGATTTTCCTTTAGTTTATCATCACAACAATTTTAGTCCAAAATTTCAACATTTTGACTTTTTGGTCATGTCTTAATATTTTGCTGCAACTTTAGTCATTTGAGGACACAAAGGACTGAAATTGCAACAAAATCTCAAATTCCCCGATTTCCGATTAGCGATTTAAGTCATGTAATTTAAAATTTTGTTGCGATTTAAGTCCCGTAATTTAAAATTCCATCGCAATTTCACTCCTAAATTTTGTACATTCCGATTATATTAAATGTACAAAAATATAATATAAATTTTTTGTATGTTTTTTTATATAACTAACTTAAGAAAAAAACTTAAACAAGAAAAAATATTATATAGTAATTCTTGTTAATTTTAATTAGCTAGATATTTTATTTCAATATTTCATTCAATATATTTATGTTTTTTTATGCATATTAATTTTCTTATATAATAGTATGTTCCCTTAAATAGTCAACTCACATAACACTAGAAATACAGGAAATAAAGAAATAATTTGGTAACCTGCTTGCTATAAACATAATCTTTCTCAGTCCCAAACAAATGTAGCTGGCATGCACCCCAACTGACTGTCCAAATTGCTTTGAACTCAAAGAACCTCAAGCCCTCTAATATATAGACGAAGAGGGGTTAGCGCCAGTGGCGCGTACCTTCGCTCGGCGTGTAC